ATCCCTCTAAATTAAATCCTATGTAAGAGAACTAAATATGCCTGATCAGGTAAGTGTCATACCTGATTTATTGCATAACAACAACTTTGAGGTTAGTTTCAGTAGCTTTAATGTTTAAGGTGAGTTTAGACTGCCATAAAGCAACGATCTGGGTCATATTCAGTGAATGATCCAACTCTTTCAAGCTGCATAGGCAAATTTTTAAGAATAGCAGCCTACACAGAGCATCAGTATTTGGGTAGTATATGGACCTGAAAAATTATTTAATTTATATCAAATTGGACCAAACATTTGTCAGTGTTACTCTAAGTATGTTTCATATCATAACTCTACTGTCCTGAAAAATAAACATCTAAATTTAATTATAAAAGGGGGGTGGAGACAGGTGCAGGTCCATCTATCCATTGAAATAAAAAAACAGTTTTCCTGAAAGGTACCCAGGGAAACCAATTCATTAGATTTAGCCTGCAGTCAGGATTGTTATTATGCAAAATCTTTGACTTAATTACTAATATTTCAAATGTTTTCATTTACTAGAAAACCTTTTATCCCCAAGAAGCAATACACTACATGGTAACTGTTTGTCTAAGTGAGAGATTGTGTACAAATATTTATCTGTTTTCCACAGTTTGAAGACAAGTTGAAGTAGTGCAAACATATTTACCCCCAGTGGTGTCACATTTTCTGTATTTGTGCTTGTTCTAATGTCAAGCTGCACGCCATTTGAGACCGTTTCTGTTGTATTAATTGGCAAAAATCTCGTATCTTTGCCAGCTCCCAGTCAGTTACATGGAGCCCTGCTGTGTGCACCTCCTGTGGGTAATGCATTTTAAATGGAGGGGCGTAATCCCACCCTTTCCGTTCGCATCATTAACTTCCCACTGATTGATAAACAGTGAGCTTCCAAGGCCATGTGGGTGTGCCTGACTTGTGACATTCGCCACATAATGTAGGTGGCTGCTGGATCATTGCTTGGCATGGATGAGAAGCTTTCCTAAGTGTTGTCAGCTGGCTGGGAAAGTCTCGATAGTTGTTGCTTTTAGTTGTCGTTTTTAGTGCAATTTTATGACTACTGCAAATGTCATTGGCTAGTTTTTTTATTTACAGGCAGTACTTGTCCACAACAAAGCTATTGGTCAGCAAATGTCACATTGGAGTTTACTCCTAGGCTGAGTTTAGCACACTTTTTCTCTTCACGTTGGTGCTCGTTTTCCAGGAGGTGGTAATAACTGCTTCCAGTCCACTAGGATTAATCAGTTCAAGTAATGAAAGATGGGAAACAGCCTTAAATTATGGAAGTGGAGTTGTGCATAGAGCCCATTGTACAAACCTGGCAGGTGTTAAAAGGCTGGGTTCCAGCCTGTTACTACCTGCTTGGTTTACTCTCCTAATTAGGTCTGGTTCGAAATGCATCGTTGGTCAGGAGGTCGTTTAATCCACAGATAATTGAGACCAAGATAAAGCTGAAAACAGGTCAGAGAGTTACAGTGTCGTCCGGCCAGTAGGATATTAATATGGGAAAAGAAGACGTTTATATCCTTCTCTGTGAAACACAAGGAACCCAAGGAAAATATGAAATTGGTGGAACAATCTGAGTAACTGGATTTGGGAAAAATCAGCTGAGTAAACGCCAAGACAAAGCATCTGACAGGGGTCCAGTGGAGTTAAGATGACTGCAGGCTGGTCTTGGCAAAATCTTCTTTAGCCATCTGCTTCACGTCAAGGAAGTCTCCAAAAAGCAGCACTGACTTTCTTCTTAAAATCACAATGATTGATCAGAAACACTAAAAGATGTACTGTTGGAAAAAAAAAAAAACATTGTCTGTTTTCTATTCTGTGAACTTTAAAAAGTCTAAAAACACTCAGGCTTTAATAAAAGTTTCCCATGAGTGGTTGGAAGGTTTAGCTAATAATTTTCTTTAAAGGGACATAAAAATCATCATCTGCATAGCATGGAAAGGATATGCCATGTTTCCTTAAGATACTCCCCCAAAAAGGAATATAGATGGATAAAAATGAAAGGTCATTTTTATTTACCTCTTATTGAACTCAGCAGCTCTCCATAATTGAAAAGCATCAGACATAAAACCACCTTTGTTGACATATTTTCCTTTTATTGATCAAAACCAGTCTAAAGCTACACCACACCATAATCCAGGATTCATACCTTAGGATGAAGAGTTATGTCTTTTAGGAGAAAGTGTTTGAACACCTTTAGGATGGATATTTTAGTACTGAGGCCCTAAATGGATAGTATCAAGAAAGCACCTGTTGCATACAAAAAAAGCCTTTTTTTTTTTCTTTAATGTCCCTTTAGGTGCTCCATATTATCAGTGGTGGGATTTTAATTGCATGATGAAATCATTAAAAGACCTCTACATTTTGTTTAAAATGCTGCTATATCTCTAAAAGCTCATCCACTGTAAGAATTTTCCAAAGGCCTATAAAAGAGAAACCGGCCCACAGTATCCCAGAACCCCAACGCTATTAACCGTGTGAACTAGATTCTTTTCGCTATATTCACCATTTGTCTCCATCTTCAAACACCTTAAGTTCAGGTTGCCAAAAAAGTTATTTTTAGACTAATTTTAAAAAATGTGGTTCCATTTACATTTCCAGTGGCTATTAGCAAACTCAACAGGTGAATATTTGAAGTCAAAGAAGGCCTTTGTAAAAGGATTTGGTTGTACCTAGACTTTTTGTAATTGTATGATTTATGAAATCAACACACCTGCATTGGAGGCTTCGTGTGCAGAGAAACGGAAAGACAAATTATTTAAATAACCCTTTTTTATTTTCTTTAGCAGTGCCAAAGTGGCATTACGGTTTTCCTGGCTTAATGATGATTTCTTAACTGTTTGCACAACATGCATGTAATATTCATCTATTACATGCATGTTGTAATGTTGAGCACAGATGATGATATTATGCAACTGGTTTAGAATATGGATTCATTTTACAGCTTTTTCTCAGAAATTGACTCGTTCACCGCATTGGTCTGTTTTTATAGGCAGAGGCTGAGTTTGTATGTCCAAAACCTAATCAAGTCTGAAGAAACACATCATCTTATTTGGCTTTTCCTTCTCTAAAGTCCTGCTTTGATCCTGTGATTATTATCAGGTCTTTGGCTCACTAAAGAACTTGAGGGTGGGGAAGCATTGTGTCCTATACTGACCGCTCCCAAAGAAAATCGCCCCCCTCCCTGGGTTGTAACAGCTGAAGCTCCCAGCTGGGTTGTGAGTAACTGCTGAGGTCAGTAAGAGAATCCAGCTGCCTGTAGAGGTTTGTTTTTCTGCTGAACACTCACCAAACATCTCGTGATATTCTGCAATGTTGTGCTGAACATGTGGTTTCTGTATGAACAGAGATACACTGGACTGAGGACTCGGTTGATTATATAAATAGTGAATCCACATGTTGATCTAGAAGTGCAAGGTCACTCTTTCAGTGACAATATACTGTGCTCTTTCTGCTGTTCATTCACTGTTTCCCCTCCAGCTGTGGGAGGAAAAAAAACACAAAGCTCATTTACCTTTGATGATGGAACTTTTTGTGTTCAAAATAACATTATTTTTTTTGTTTTCATTGATAGTACTGGATTTCCAAGAGTTAATTTGGTATTCTATGACTGTAGCTATCCCGCCTTATTAAATATTGATCCAAATCATGGCTAAAGCTGTTTGTTTATGTGAATTCTCAAATGATTACCTTGAGAAAAGCTTCTTCTGTCTACAGAACTTCAGTCCGAGCTCAAACCTTCCCTTCATCAGTAAAATTATTGAAAAAGTTGTGCCTCGGCAGCTAAAAAACCCCCCTAACAATGACCGGTCACTTCAATGTCTTCCAGTTATGCTTCCATGTTCACCACAGTTCAGAGATTGCCCATGACACAGTGTTTAATGGCATTCATATAAATACAGACTGTGGAAGAACCACAATGCTGCTTTTATTGGACCTTAGTGCAGCATACGACCCTACAACGACCCATCACTCCACTTTATGAGACAACCTTCAAACCTTGGTCACCTTTTTTGTTTAAGTTGATAAATATAGGATGGAGACCACAAAAAAATTATACATTGTTCCTCAGGGGTCCATCATAGGCCCCCTTCTATTTAATATCTACCTGCTTCCCCAACTCAGATCTTACAACAACATAAGTTCACATAACAATTGGTGCGGCCAAATCCGGGTTTTCAGTGGGTGAGTGGCTTTACATTTGAGCCAATTTAAGTATTTTTCAAGAACTATGTTAGAAATCCATTTGTTGTTGGTAGCGTTACAAAACAGGAGACTCCACACGTAACCTTATAGTTGTATATCATCCTAACTTTGAAATTAGCAGAAGGTTGGCAACTTTACCAAATTTAACATGTTACTAACAGATATCGAAAGCTGAAATAGATTTTTACTTCTACCAGCCTTCTTGTTTAATGTTGATTAGCTTCTTACATCGTTTTAATTTCCTCTTTTTTAACACCCCACTAATGCATAAAAATTTCATTTTGATTTTTTTTCCAGCAACAAAAAATTTTGCGCTGAGCCGTGTTTCTGTCTGAGAATCCCTTTAATTCCATAAATTTATTTTACCACACATTCATTTGTATCTGCAAATAGAATGTTTATCTCACTTTTATACTAATTTATTCGTTATTTTGTCTGCTCAACAGCGTCTAAGCTAATCTCCATCCTGTTGTATCCTAGAATGAGTTATTGATTGGTATTGAATGCTTCGTCATGGTGGGTGCACATGTTGTAAAAGGTTATTTAATAGAAAATAATACAGCAGGCTTTAAGCTGTTTTCTGCCTTCAAAGCTGCTTAGCTTCATTTATGCGATCCTGAAACTGAGTAAGGTTTAAAATATCAGTAGATGGTTTATCTTCCGTGCAGGGGAAACAGTAGTGAGATGGTTTAACCCAAGATGATCCCTTTATGTTTGATCACGCTCCCTGAGGTCAATCTTAAGTGTTTGTTTTCTTATCTTTTTCTACTTTCCAGGGGGCTGTTTGCTGGTAACTATATGGAAACCCATTACCTGGAAGACGGCAGAGAAGTCACAGGCCCTCACAACTTCACGGTACATTTCCTTTTATTTTTCTGTAACAAAACTTGTAATGTTTTCTGAATTGCTACCACGCATCTCAAATAGGTGTTGGGATTCTGTTAAAGTCTTTCTCTAGAAATGTTCTGCTTCATTGTGCTAATATTACAGAGACTTCAGAAAGTAAAGTTATAGTGATATTACTGCTAGCCTCTGCATAAGGCCACCTGGATTTGTTCACAGAGTGTAGGTGAGTGGGCCCATTTCCAGCAGGTGGATTTATATTTGATGGAATAAAGGCTGACAGGGGTCAAAAAATAGACTTCGTTTTAGGAAACAGCTCCAGTCGTTTATAATGGATAACGTTAAAGGCATTCCTAAAAATGGTTTGTTATGCAGGTCTGCACGAATATCTTGAATTAGTGAACATTTAAGTGCACTTCAGAAGTCACGCTGAGTAAAATATTCATATCATTTATGAGCTTTGTAGCGAGTAATTTGAGAAAGCGTTTTTATATAAAATACTTCTGTAAAGTCTGACAAATGAATTATGCTTTCCTATAATCTTTGACTCCAGTTCAGTTCTAACATATAGCTTTACTGTAAGTGTAGGTTTTGGTCTGTTGCTGCAAAAGTACTTATTTCTTTTACACGCTTTGCTAATTTGTGTCAATGCTGTGATAAATACTCCTCATTTTCATCAAACTCAATTAGGCATCTTAAAGCAAAACATATTCAGCATTTAAATACTCTGGGACTTTGAAATTATATTCCATGGATGCACAAATATGATGCATTGAAAGGCATTTTATGTTTCGGTTTGGTAAAGATAAAAAGGTAATTATATCTGCATTGAGCAGTTTCTACGCTTTGCAGCTCCACCAGCTGGCTTTATTTCAAGGGATTTGTTTTTCTGCAGTTTGGAAAGCAATTAAATGCTACATTTTCCTTCAAAATACCAATAAATCATCAAAAAAAAAAAAACACACCAGCAGTGTGTGTTGAAGCTTAATGGTCAGTTTGTCTTAAGAAAAAAGACGTAAAGAGGATTAATTGAATTGCAATTTTTTGAATGCACATGACAAAACGGAGAACCTTTTCTGCTTTTTAACTGTTGTCAGACGCAAACTGCTACTTCACTGATGGGGTTTGCCCAGCTCATTAAAATCACTGTCATTCCAGAGCATAAATACAAAGAAAGGGTTGTACCAGGCCAGTGTGGTGGTTTGTGAGAGGTCATTGCTTAGATGTCCAACTATGAAGAGATGAATTTTTAATCCAAAACTGAAAGAACTGGATGTGGTGTTTATGTTGAGGTGACAAAGAGACATGCTTAGACTTTCTTCTGGTTGGTCTTCTTCGATGTCTAACACACAAATACCAGTTTCTATAGATTCCGTATTTAGGGTTAGGACATTCTGTAGTTTGTCTGAAAATCTTTGCATTTCTATTAACCAAAAATGCAAAAATCCTTTGCGTAAATTTTACATGTAGTTTATATATATTATATAGTGTATAATAAAGTGCAGTGCATTTATGATGCATTTATGAACAAAATTTAATGAGTAACTTTTTGATCCCCCCCCCCCCCCCCTTTTTTTTTTGTAGTGTTTGACCAAGGATGGGGCTATCAAGGAAAAAGGTTTTTCTAATATCTGGCTGGCTTATTAGGGATAATCTTCTGATGATAAGAAACAGGGCCGTTTTGATTTATTTTTCTGTTTTGTTCCTGTAGCTGTTTCAAGTTCTTTTAGATCAGGTATTAACAGACACTAAGGCCGTTTCCCAATTTACAAGTATGTGAGTACAGTATGGACTCGGGTTATGACCAAGTACATTCTTGTCAAGAACACTGGAAGTATGGCCTCGGGGAGAACGGGGGCAAGCAGGACAAATCTATCCGGGAATTGCGTCAGTTCTCTGTCTTCTTGTTCTTGTGAATTAAAATTGGAATGGTACTTTTTTTTTATATTATGCACCAAATCAGTAAATGGGCCATATATGAGGCTTAAAGGTATAATGTTCTCGCCTCAAACATTCTTAAAACATACTTTTGTAGAACTACAGCAACAGAAAAGCGAACCCCTGAAAGGTGCTGCTGCCACGGTGCATGCTGGAAGAGCTATCTGGTCCGCTGACAAGTCTGCCTGATGCATGCTCGGTAAAGAGGGAGGGGCAAGAACAACATCCGGAGACTTTGTCCTTTCTCAGTCTTGTGTTCTTGTCAATTGGAATAGTGCTGGAGCTGAGGCTGATGAAGTTACACTAACACATAAGAATGTACAAGTACTATTGAGAAACTGCCTTTTTTCTATGTCCAAATACACTTTACAATATAGGCCACTTATATAGGCCTTCTTAAAAACCCTATACATACCCTATTCAATCTGTATTACATGTTGATAACATGACATGCTAAAGAGAAAAGTTTTAAATTGCATTTCATAACTCTTTTCTGTCCAAAGAATGAGCAGTAATTCCCTTAACAACCAGTGACTGTTACATTAAACTGACTACAGGAACATCTTCTGACCTCTGACCCTCCACTCATTCCTGTCTCACGGTCACAGCTGGTTCTTTGAGGGGAGGATCCTTTTCCTGAAAGCAACCAGACCTTTTGAGAGTGAGGTGTGGGTAATTTATCTGTCCGGCTGGCCAGGAGGAGGCTGATATAGTGATTTGGGATCTTTCGGATTTCACTCTGCTGGGAGTGGTTCCAGCATGAGTCAGCTCTTTCCCTGATCATGTTTATCACCCTCTCCCTTTCTCATTAAATCTAAATCCACATGGAGCCCAATAAACAAGTGTGCTGCAACAAAAGCCATGCGCTGGAACAATCAATCACACCAGGGGATAGGCGGCTTGGATAATTCATGTTTAAGAAAAATATTTGGATTTAAAAAAACTGTTACCTTCCATTATAATTTAGTTTTTAGATATTAATCTTTGTTAATAATTTCTGATGTATGTACATATAAGTGCTTTCCTCTCTGCTTTATTCAGGAACCAGAGAAACAAAAAGTCTATTCATATCCCTTATTGCAATGAATCATAGTCATGATCTCATCAAAGAAACATGAGACGATCGCATTAGCTCTAGGCACTAAATTCAGCCTTGTTCCTCCCCACTAAAATATAATTTTTAATATAATGTCCTGTCTCTGCACCTTTTACCTCATTACTGTGGATTATTCTTGTTCAGCACTCTACTAGGAAATTTCCATATATTTTGAAGAGCTCAGACCCTAGCAAAGTCTTTCTGAGAAAAGGAAAAAAAATTGTCAAAACAATTTGCAAACCAAAAACTCTGACATGTCTTAAAGATAACATATAAAGAACTCTTGATAATGTTTCATATTCTGCCACAAACTTCAAAAGTACATTGTCCTCAAGCTTTTTGTTTAAACAAAGCTTTGTAAATCAATTTAGGATTTCAAAACAACTTAACAAACGAACATCCTGTTAGGCCGGGCATAGAATGTACGACTTTTCGCCCTTTTCGGCCGATTCTCCAATCGTGCCAAATTTCAACCTCGTCCTGTGTCATGTCGTATACAGAGGGTAACGAGCGACAATCAGCGGCTTACGACCACCTCCGATCAGGAGTCATAAGGTCGGGAGAAAATCAAACATGTTTGAAATATAGTCGGCCCTTGTGAGGTGTCGGTGAGCAAATCCTGCTGTTGAAGCAGATTTACAAGCCAATTTACCAGAACCTCACGCACTGCGCATGTGCAAACAAGGGAGTTCTTCACCTTCCAGATTGACGAGTCCACCAGCGGTCACAGGCTTGTGTGGTTTTTGAACGTGTAGTGTGAACAGGTAGATTGTATCAAAGCGTCGGGCTGTAGAGTGAACTTTTAAACCCTGCGATTTCATCGTACAGTTTGAGCTGTAGCCGAGATGAAAGAATGGAAATATCGTAGAGTGTATGCCCACCTTTAAGGCCATTTTCTATATTTTCATCTTTTTTTACTTCTTTTACTATCAATTCACATGTTTAGCCTTTAAAAAAGTCATTCTAGACCTTGAACTCTCCTGTTAAAGTAAAATACTTTAAAGAAATGCATTGTGAAATAATGTTATAGACAAACACAAAGTGGCCCAAAAACTTGTAATCAGTACTTTAACACCCTCTGAATATTATTCTGTCCGATTATTGCCTTCAGAACTTTCCTGGTTAGTAACCAGACTCCTCCTGGTAGTTCACTCCTTAAGTTAACCCTACTTAATAGTTTTACAAAGAGAGTTTTAAATTGGGTCAAACAGCTTCTTTGTTTGTAAGGGAATCCATCACAACAAATCAAAACCAACCACAGCTTAATCTAGTATCTATATTTTAGAAGCTGTTGAATTTATTGTTGTTTTTATGCCACTGGCCTGGAATAAGTATAACAATGCCTAATACAATTTTAGTAAGAATTCACTCATTAGCTAAATCTAATTGAGATTCTGTGGCAAGACACGCTAAATAATTTTCCTGCTCTCAATCTGACTGATTCTGAGAGGTTTTACAGAGAAAAATTTTCAGATTTTACAACTCAAGATGAGCAAAAGTAGAAAGACCCCCAAAGTTTTAGTAATAAGTACTTTTAAAAAAAGTTTAGCTCCCTGATTCAACAGCATCTGGCACTTTTATTTTATTAAAAAAAAAAGCAAAATTTGAGAGCAAAATTTAAGGGATTTATTTGTTTCATGTAAAATCTCAACCAAATTGATTTAAGTTTTTATTTTTTAATGTGACAAAATGTTAAAAAGTTTAAGGAGGGTCAACATGTTCCAAGTTTACAACAAGTCAAAGTAATGACCGAGATACCTAAATAGAAGACATGTGTTTGACTGTATTCAATTAGCATACGCCTACTAAACTCTATTGTATTTCACCTCGAGGGAGCCACACCAGGATGAAGAGATCACTTCTTATCACTGGCTACATAAATTCATGGAATTCTCAGTTAATATGATACAGGCTTAACCTAAAGTATATCCACAAAACAACTGTATCGAACAAAAGTCTCATATCCTTTTAAAGCAAATTTGCATCACTTATATTTAAAGAATATAATTTCACAGTCACTAAATAATATATAGTTCTTTCTAAAGTGCTTTATAGTATGTTGCATTTGTATTCAAACTGTAAAACTAAGAACATCGAGATAGAGAAATGTCTAGAGTAACTAAAAACATCCCATAAAAATCTCTGGATTTAAACCAAAGTGAAATGAAAAACTGTAGATACTGCACCCCAAGACCAAATTAAAGAAAGCACTGCAGAGGCCTAATGGCTCTAAGGTGCAGAAACACTTCATGCCAAAAAGTCATCAGTGAGCTTAAGTCCCTCAGTCACCTTCCAGATATTCTCTACACACCCATCTCTTAGAACTACATCACCGTTTAGGTGTGGAGTAACTTGTTGACTTCATACTTAAAGATATACCCCGTGAGATGTTTCGCAAAAGTATGCGTCTGTGTTTTGACTTTCTATGTCAAAATACTCATCAAATCCCTGAAAAACAGAATTTTTTTTCCTAGCAGAATTGTTTCATTTATGTTGAAGACTTAATGATTATGAGAGGGTGTGGTGAAAACATAACGTCTCTGCAGAATGAAACATTTCAGAGATTTAGTCTCCTGGTTCCTTAAATTGCCAACAAAGAATCACCCTTTTATAAGTGCTCTCTGAGCTTAACACATGCCAACATTTCAGTTTTTCTCTATCTGCTTTGAGACGGATAGGTAAGTGTATTGAAAGCTGCACGACCAAAATGCTACATCCAACTGCTCCAAGGTTTAGGATCCTTTTCAGGAGATGCTGGAGAAAGGGTCAAAGAAACTGTTTTCTCAAGCTACAGTAAATGGAAGATAAAGCAAGAACAAGGCTCATCTGTTTTTTTAATCTAATAACCATGGTTCAGCTGGGTGTTCAAAAGTCTTAAGTCTTAAATTTACACATTTAAATTTAATACCTTTAAAGACGTCTTACAACTTATGAAATGTGATGTCATAGGTCTTACATGCAGGGTTTCCCCCAGTGTATTTTAAGCCCAGCAAGCCACCAGGCTAAGTGTTGGGTTGTTTATCTCAAATGTGGGAAATTAAAATGAAGTCTGATATAAATAAATACATTTTCTTACATTCTAGGAATGCTCTTTTTTCCCCCTATGCCCATGGGATGAGTATTCAGTTTTAAGTGGTTTTCAAAAGTCTTAAATTAAACTTTTAGAAACTTGTAGGAAGCCTGTATAACAAAGACCAGAGCAATCGATTAGAGACATTTCATGAGGGACTCTTCTGCAGGGACTACAGAGGTCCCATATTTCCAATCTTGACTGAACAAACAGAAATAAACCTGCAACTAACAATTATTTTGCAAATCAATTCATCTGCTGATTATTATTCAATCGGATAGCCAAATCAAACCAGGTGAAGCTAAGATTTTTCCACTTAAGGAGTTCTGAATAGAGCATAGTGACAGACGAATTATTTTTTTTTTTATCAAATGCATAATGTTTATATATTTTTTTTACTATTTTGATATAATTGCTGCTCTAAGTGGGCTGCTCTATCGGCTAAAGGCATGTTTTATAGTCTCTTTACTCCAGATAACGATTAAGCGATTACTAAATTAGTTGATTATTTCAATAATCGATTAATCTGATTTATTGTTTCAGACCTAATCAGAAGTTTCTTCTCTGTTTGATTTTTTGTTTATTTGAAACCAATACAGATAAACACATAATGTATAGATTGAGTGGAAAGAAAGTCTCAAAGATGTATACAATTTTATAAACCTATTCAACTGAATAAATTCTATTATGTGTTGGGAAATATTTTTAGTACTAATCCTAACCTCACAGTAATCATACCTATACTTAAAGAAGCCTGTGGAAACATTATGGTGAAATGCATGTAGTGCACCATTGAGTCTAAACTTACAGCGGACACGGAAATGGATCTGATTTCAATTTGGAGGCAAGGTGTTGACCTCATTTAGCAAGTCCATGCTGCCGTTGAATTAGATGTCATTATCTTGTCTGAGTTTAACTAAGCAAAGCTGCTAGGTCTAAAAGTAGTCAAAGGATTATTAAATATTGTCTTTTAGTCGTAAATGAAAAATGAAACCCCATGACAATTTCACAGCTTTAGGAGGGTAAACTAAGTTTATCATATTTGGGGATGAAAAGTCTTATTTTATTTATTTGTTAATTTAGGAGAAACAGCATGCATTCTAAGTGTGTGAGAGGCCCTGAAGTGGCATAATCATATAGCCTGACGTAGTCCGACTCAATTCTAGTCAGAATATGAGTCTGATACTGCTCCATAGAGCTGTGATTATGGGGCATGTTTTGAACGAACCAGGAAAAAAATGCCTCTGTACTCAATTGGATAGACCTACAACCAATAAGAGCAACGGAGTGTGTGACGTATGTTAAGCGAGGCATAGTTGTTGTCCACAAAAATCAAAGCGTGCAGTTTCACGCCTAGAATAAGAAGATGAGACTTGATTGTGTTTCTCTGTTCCTCTTTTAAAATTAATTTGCTGTCAATATCTTCTAGAACAGACCTAATAGCAGAATCTACTCACCCAAACTCTCCAGCGGCAGCCATTATTGTTGTCACCCAAGCGCGCTTTGGTCACGTGGTTGATAACGTTACTCTTGATCATCTGTCCATCATCGTATAAAGCCCGCCCTGACAATTTGATTGGATCGCCTGACAGTGGGCTTTAATACTCGCGCTACTATGGAGCAGAGCCAGACCGAACTTCCCCGAACTCAAACCTTGTGGGCGGGACTAAGTTCGGACTGGCACCCAGGCTAATAATCATACCTCCTGGATATAGAGATCATAGAAAAAAAGAAATTTTTGGAAAATGTCTTAATCTCCAAGCGAAACAACTACAGGACATACTTATGCAGTGGCCAGCATCCCTGTAAGTAAGTTACTCTTAGTTATAATTAGGAGCTGACACCTTTTTTTTTTATGAGAACTAGAATACAGTTCCATATTTATTAGTTCAACTCCATTTCCCCCCAAAGTGGATGTGTTTTACTTTGTAACCGCATCTCTCTTCCTGTTAGACTCATAAAATTACCACTGAATTGCTGCATAGTTCGACTAAAACAGACCTAGGGTCTATCTCAGTCGGACTTACGCAAGCCCCTTGTGTACAATTGTGTCAGGTGTGATCATCCCCATTGACTTTCAATGAGCGCTAAATGCCACGACCTCGCCAAACACAATTTTCTGTCCAATCGGACGTAAAATCTGATTTAGTGTGTTCTGGCCTTTACAATGTGTTTTCAGTTAAAAAAAGCTCACTTAGTTTACAAAGTTCTAAATGACAAAAAAATTTTATATAGTGAGCTCCTCTGAATCTTGGTACAAAGGTTCATTAGTTGTTTTTTATTCTTACTTAGTATTTGCAAGTCAAATTAAGGTGGAACGTTGAAGAACGTCATTCAAATATACGCTGTAGTTCATCTAAAGCTATGTTATTATTTGGAAATTTCAACTTGTGTGTTTATAATGAAACACCATGAGGCTATGATACTTTGACTTAAAGTTATCACTGTGAAAATCTCAGAATGAATGTGACTTAAATACAGTAATCAAAGCTGCTCACCAAGAAAAAATTACATTTAAGCAAATCATGGGTTTTTAAAGATGTCTGTAATGAGGGAAAAACAGCATTTAGTAAGACTGTTTTAAATAGCTCATGTCAGAAGTGTGAAAACACTCTTTGCAAAAATGACTTTGAAGGGATATAATGATGAAAAAATTAAGCAGAGGTTTCGTTTAACACCAGAAACCTCTGGATGATGACCATGTCAAACAAGCTGCCTCCAGAGATGAAGCCACCTAAAAGGAGGACAGATGTTAAGATTTACTGCCTGCCCACTATATGTAGAGATGCTTTTAGTCGGCTGGAAATCCCACATTTTTCTTTTTTTAGAACTGGGTGGTAGGAGTGCTGTCGGTCAGACCTCACCTGAGCAAGGTCTGCCCTGTGTGATGGAGAAAGCCAGGGGCCTGTTTTTTCTCTCAACCAGACGCTTCCGTCCCACCCATTTTCTGAACGGCCTCAGTCAATAAACATGGACCTAATTCAGTTTCTTTACTTTCTGCTCCAGCTTGACAGGTGGTCTGTGAAACTGGGCACCTTGGAATGCAGCAGACTTTAAAACTTAAGAGAAACATGGGTCTCAGGCGGCTCACATTGGCTGACTATTAGTGGTATCTGTTTATAGAAAAAAAAGACATTTAGATGTGGTGGGGACTTCACTTAAACCTGTTTTGCTACATTCCTGTTGCTATTCTATAATTAGACAATTTATCTTTACATTTTTTTGTTACTGCTTCCATAGACAAACTGCTACTACCATGGAGAGGTGGAGAGCCACATGGAGTCAGATGTCAGCCTCAGTACTTGTGCTGGGATTAGGTAAGTGTTGGTTTACCCATACAGTGCCATGCAAAGAAACTTTCCCCCTTCATCTTCAGGATATGTCGTTTCTGGTATTTAGATGCTGATTTCCTAATATTTTCCTTTGCTTTTGTTAAAGTCAGATCATCGTATCGATTTTTAAAGCCGGCTTCCTAATATTGTTTTTCACATTTAGTACGTACATTTTATTGTCAGACTTATAAGCATGAAAATGGTCAGTCTGTCAAGTAATTTAAATGTGGGTTCCTCTGGAGATTCTGCCTAGACCAAATAAAAAAAAAATGGTTTTGGTTTTAATTTGACTATAAATAGATAATAATAATAAAAAAAAAAACTGTACATAAATTGCTGAAAAAGCATCAATTCTGTTAACATTAGGATAAAAGTTATGTTCTTTTTTAGGTTAAGTTTGAATTAAAAAATGTCCTTGTCTTTGAAGGAAAATCAGAATCCTGAAAGTGTAATGTTTGCAATAGGCATACTCTGTCTTCTGCGTCCCTTCTTGTTGATTCTAGTATTTGATCACATTATTATATATTAATAACTATTATATAGTTATTTACATTTCACATTTGGCTTCTGAAGTTAATAAAGCTCTGTCCCCAGTTAACCCAGGCCTCTGCAGAAGGATCACATAAACAGCAACAACAGAGGTCACAAATAAACATTTTGGAGAGAAAAAAAACACAATGCAGGTTTATTTTGTTTGTTTAGTGAATGTACTTTATTGTGTGGATTGTGGGACTCTTTGAACTGGCTTTGGAGTGCTTCGGAAATCATATATTTGTTCAAGCTTAGTGTTGTGGTAGAGAGCAACACATAATCAGCACTTGAAATACCTAAGGGTGTTCCTCTAGGGTATGTTTTCACCCCTTTTTAATTTTGGATTTTATAGTATAGCTAAACCTACAAGCTGTCAAGGACAGTTACTGAAACAAGTTGCCTTGTTTCAATACTTAGTAAAAAAGTTTCTGCTGTGATGCCGCTTGTGCATGAGATTCAATTCAGTTTATTTATAAAGCGGCAATTCACAAAACATGTCATCTCAAGGCACTTTACAGAGACAACACATTCCAATTTTTTCCAAGTTTCTGTCAAGGAAAACCAGTTAAATGCAACCAGTCATTCACTTGTGTACAAGAAAAAGCAATTAAAAAGGTTTGTTCCTGGGTCTTAAGTATGAATATTAGAAACTGCATTTATTTGCTTTAATTTTTTTTAGCGTTGTAACATTTTAAAAATGCTTCTAAGTAATTAATGAAGATTAATGAATTAAAGTCGTTTTTTTTATATATATATGGTGTTCAAGTCCTATTTTTCCTGCTTATTAATTATGTGTAGGCTTTTTTATGTTGGGGAGACTGGATCACACATAACTAGATGGATTAAGCTTTGTTGTTATGCAGGCTCTCATTCAATCCTTTGAAAGGATTGCTTTAAATGTTATGGAGAAGATGCTGGTGTTATGTTTAAAAATAATAAATTCTTAAAAAGAAAGCCAATTTTTTTTTAATTGTGTTAAAGTGTTTCATTTGGGAAGGTTTTTCAATTTTGTATTATTAACTGCTTGGTCTTTTTCCCCTTTTTGATTTTCTAATGTAATACAATCTGACTGTATGATCTGGTTGAAAGTGCCTTCAGATGACATGTATGTGAATTTGAGCTTTATAAATAAACTGATTTTAATTTAATATAGTTATATTTCAATTTTGTTTTTGCTTAAAAAAACAAACTAAAGAAATGTTTTAACTTAATATGACTTTCCTAGCTCAATATAGGTTACTTACAAACAACTCATAATTTCATACATTCAAGTTCTTCTATTTGCTTTTCTGTTACTTTAGTTTTCTACTGTAATGTTCTACAACTCTTTGTTGCAGAAGCAGTGTTTAGTGACAGCTGCATTTCAACTGCATAAACTACTTCAGTTACATTCTGAGCGCATTAGATCATGTTTATATGTAGCAAGATAGAAATGACAATTTTCAGGAACAGTTGTTTCTTCAAGCAAATAACTAATAAATGAGACATTTTACAATAAAGATATTGAAAGATTAAACTCTGTTTGAAAAAATGACATGCTGTGAGGCTCTAAGGATGGGAAGAGTTTCACGCTTGGAAACATTTTCTTTTTAGATGTCAAACAATGGAAATGATTGCTGCAATGTTGTTGGAAAGCATCAGGAATGTTGACATAAATCAACCAAAAAAATCCATACCCTTTGCAGAGTGATTTATCCGAGTACAGATGAATTGCTTCTGACCTTGGTCATATTTATTTATTTTAGTTTCTATGTCAACCATCTAACAAGAGACAGAACAACAGCACTTTTTGACGTAGAACTAATCATAGTTTGACCCACTTGTAGACACAAATGGCTCCTAGTTTGAGGTTGGCATCACTTAGACTCGGGGGAGTTTCTCACTGAGGTTTATTCAGCATTAAATACTGTGAAAGTTTCAAGTCTGGTTGGGAGAGTTAGTGTTTCTACTGCAAAGGCTTACATTATGAGATGTAGAAAATAAAATAAAAATAATTTAAAATGCCACATATAAAAGGCCGTGCAATCAAGTGCCATATAAAATTATTGTTGTTTCACCGCAATGTAATGACTTCTCTTTTTTGCCTTTTGCAGTAAGCATAGGCACAGCCACATCAAACATGATTTGCAATTGTTCTGGGTTATTGCATTAGGAATACTTTTGCATGGTATGACAAATGAGATGATTGTTAATGGCTAAAGGAGAACTGATTAATAAAAAAACACACAAACTTATGCAACAGAAACAGTGGGGTTTGACCTATGACTGGCATGAACATATTTTATGAAATTAACACTAAAAATAGCTCTTTAGTGTGACAGAAACTCCCAAGTCAGCATCTTTTCTAACACTTCCAAGACATACATTTGGCATCAGGATGGATGTATTTTTGGCCCTAGAGGTGAGTCAGCCTCTCTGGCTTTGCTGCCAATCCACATACCTACCTGTTGTTGGCATGAGCATTGGAGCATTCAGAGACTTAGGGTTTAGGGTGGGATAGGTGTGGGTTTTTAATACACAGTAGTCCAACAGGAAACAACAGTACATCCAAGGAGGAGGGGGGGCTGGCATGGGATCTTTCACGCCTCTTTCTCTGCTCCACCTGGGGATGGGGCTGGGCCCTGGGGTTAGCCAATGGCTTGTTGGGGGTTTCTGGCTATCCTTCGGCTCTCTCCGGGCTTTGGTTCTTATCCTATGGCTTTGATCTGTTGTCTGTCCACTGGGATGGGGGATGGCAGTTCCTCGCATTTGGCGAAGTGTCTAGGAGGGAGCCAGCTGGCTGGCATGACTGTATGGCAGGTGGGATGCCACCACCGTGCCTGGATGCATCTCAGCTTGTGTTGTGGGCCTGTCTGACCTGACCCTGCATGTGGCCTGTTCCTCCAGTTAGGTTGAGGGGACGCTTTGGGGTGTCTGGCGCCAGGGCTCTGGTGGCTGGCGTGCTTTACTTTGCATTGGGGGCTGGACTGCTTGGGTTGCATTTACCTGACAGCCATGGGTATAAAAGGACCATACAGATGTGGGTGCCTGGGACGGCTGTGACCGACTGGGGGTGGGGCGGGCTATTCGACAGGTTAGATACCTGCTCTGGTGTCTGTGGAGGCGGGTGCGAGGTTTATAGGGAGATGCGGTGGAAGGGCTTTAACCACCTGGAGGTGGTGCTTGGGGTAGACCTGTTCTAATTCTGCTCTTACTAAAGATAAATCAAATATTATTTGGCATGGTCATTTTTCATGAAATGATTTGCTTGATCAGAATCCAATACCCTTTAGTATTGATTTTCTTTTAAAAGAGTGATCATAATGTTGGTAATGAACTGTGATGAGCACATAAACATTAAATTGGTATTTAAAACCTTAATTAATTAAAGCTTGTTTTAGCTCTAAAAAAAGAGCTCGACATCTCAACGGGGCGTACCATACAGCCCATCTTGTTAGCTTGTTTTGCACAAAAGTAAGCTCATGAAATTATCAGAAATCATCACACAATCAAATTGTCTACCTCAAAACTATCCGCTAACAAGCCAGACTTTTATCCTCTGCTAATCTCCATTGTGGAAAAGGTTGCGTTGTCTCCAGTACTTAGCAGTTTAGCATGACAGGCCCACAACTGGGAGGTTCTCCTTTGTTCTCAGATGCTCCACCTCACCTGGTCCTTTCAGGCATCATAAAGTTCCTGAAAATCAGGAACTTTCAGAAATCAGAAATGTTGTAAAATGCTGTTTTTAAGTTAGCCACTAGGTCAACTTAGCCTTTGATCAATCTGTAGATTCTGGTCCTTGGCTTGTGGTCTTCCATGATGGTGCCTCTTCTATGTGGCTGGCCCAAGATCAGCTCTGAAAGAAGATAAGAAAAGCATGAAATATTTGCTCTGTCCTTAAAACACCATGGGGGGGCAGTGCCTTATGTGTTTGTAGGAGTCTCTTGTCAGAGGGGGGTTTGCAAAGAGAGTCCAACTGCAGCGCAAACCTGGATCCTCCTGGGCCAATGATCACAATTACTGTAATATCAGCATGGAAACTGGTCCAACATGACCAAAATAAATATCAGGGTTAATGGCCCAAATGTAATGTTTAGGATACATAAGAGCAAAAACAGATTCAAGAAAAGTGTTTTATACAACAAAACAGACTTCAGCAGGTAACAGGAAGGCTAAAAAAACTAAGATTATCGTTGTTTTGGTCTTACCTTTTATACTTTTAGTGTATGCTTTGCCAGTTATGTAACACATTACATTTAGAAGAATGTTCTCATTAAATGTTCTCTATTAACTGCGATCATTATTTTTCTTCATTTCTTTGCAGGGGTTTTATATATCTTGGAAGCAGATCTTACATGCTGGAACCATGTGCCAACTGTTCTGATGGGATTCACTGGATCTACCCAGCAGAACACCTACATTTTGTTCCTGGCACCTGTGGTCATGGTTTTAATATTTCCCACCCCACTCAAAACACAGACACCAGTCCATTTAAAGCATTCGGCACACGAGTAAGAATTTTTATTTTTTTTCTTACCTTGATGTTTCACCTTACACAATACAGTGTTAAAGGCTGTCAGAAAATACAGATCAGTTGACCTAAACATTCAGATTCCTGGTTGGCAGTGGAAAGAAGTACTCCTATGAAAGATATTTAGGATTTCTTAAGTAAAGTTTCATTGTGGAGATTTTATTAGCAATCAATATCTTGTCTGTAGCAGAGAGAGTTTAGAGATGATTGAGATTAGAGAAGCAGAAAGATTTGACAGGAGGCTCAAGCTCATGTTTTGTCAGACTTGAACCAGTTAGAAAGCCACTAGTTATCATCGTAAACTACTTGGATTATGGCATACTGTCAAAAGAAAATCTCATAATTTCTTAGATCACATCACAATATTTTAAAGTATAATCTAGTGACTGTCACTTATTGTTTCATGACCCCCAAGTGGGTTATGACCTCCACTTTGGGAACCTCTGCTCTAAGCCGTTTGAATAATACGTTTTTTAATATGCATTTAGGCAAATGGGCTGCTGTATGTTTTAAAGGCTGCGAGCCTAATTATTACATTTCTCCATCTTAATTTTCTACTATATATTGAGCCTGGTTGTTGGTAAACATGAATGATGAAATGCACACATTGTCTGGTAAGAAGCAGTTTGTTCTTAAAATTAGATCAGGCTGAAGGCGCCAACTGGGCTGGTCACTTAAAAAAAGAAGGAAGAAATATCTCACCTAATTTGCACTTCTGTGCTCAATGCATGTGACCCCTCCTATCATAGTTATAAATCATAGTGGCTATAGCCTTATCAAATCTTTACCCTCAGAGGGAATGCAGCTTTGTAAATGATAAACCCTGATAGGGGAAAAATACAGACTCCAGTGATTCTCTGTGTTGGTTTTAAAGAAAAGCAGGCCCTGTAGAACACAGCTGATTTACCAGATCAGTGCAAACAGTGATTGGAGGTGTCAGAGATGCAAAGGATATTTAAGGACTTCTGAAGAGGTCAGGCAAGCATAGGGTCTTTAATAAAGTATTAATGCTCCTTAACTCTTTTACATTTTGTCTTATTACAAGAGCAAAACTCAGTTTACTGAATAGGATTTTATGCTATTTTATTTATACAGGGTAGTGCATGATTGTAAAATGAAGAAAAATATTTGTTTTTTTTTAATACTTAAGGATAGAATCTGAAAAATGTGGCTAATTTTTGTTAATACTTTGAACAACAGTTATAGCTCGAAATGTATGGTTAACATTTTTATTCACCTTTGTAAAATAGCTTAGGCTACATCAAGCTGGATGGCCTGTTAACGTCTCTCATCAAATCTTGTTACAAATTTTCAGTTGTTCTAGTGCAGAGGTTTTTAACGTTGAGGTTGTAGCCTCTTAGTGGCTCTCAGTGGTACTGCAGGGTTGTTGCGAATTCTGTGCCAACCCGCTCCCTGCAGCAGTCCCCTTACACAGCCTAGCCTAAAATATATGCTTATATATGTTTTGAAACAAATGAATCAAGCTTGGTAACTTTTACAATTTGCCTAAAACTAAAAAAACTCAACCAACTTTTATCTCCATCAGGTTTTCTCTTTTAGGATTGTCCCGTTTAGCTCCATATATCTTTGAATCAACTCTTAGTTGCTTGAAATAGCTGAGTTAAGGGGAGTTTACTATTCGTTTTAATAGGTGCTCATTAACATCAGCGTGAAAAATGGTCTAAGTTTCTAAGTATTGGCTAATAGATTAACTTTCTGTTCCTAAATTACATCGACATTGGGGATTTTTCTAAGCTTTGTATTGCAGCTTGAATTCTGCTGGTGATTATAGTGCTGGCTCTTGCTGCATGTATTGTCTTTGGTCGTATGAGGGCTGCATAATGGAACCATGAGAAAACAGATCTTGACAAAAGCACAAAGGATGCCTGACAGAAACAGAGTGGGAATACGAACAAAAGGAGAAAAATGGCTCTCACAGATGATTTACGAGCTTGTTAAAATTCTGGTTTGATTCTGCACCGTGAGAGGGTTTATTGGGGGGTGGTTTTAAATTTACTTTTGGCCTTTTGAATAATTGAAGAATACAGCAATTTAGATAGTGGTGGGACATTTGAAAGGGAAACATATTATGTTCAAAATTAAAGACAGAAGTGATTCAAATAAACCTAAAATAAAACAGGGGAGGATATTAAAAGTTGCAGAAAAGAGATACACTAAAAGCTAACAGAGTAGTTTTTTGCTCAAGTGGCACAAGTGTGTGAGCTGCTGTGTTAATAAGATGCAGTGTGTTATGCTTAAGGTGTTAAGATAAGAAGTGGTTTGTAGAGGGTTCCTGTGGAGTTACAGTAGATAGGCTCAGAGAGGGTATAGAGGTATGACGGGTTGCTGACAGGCCCTGCACTTCAGTAATACAACTTCATGGAGATTTCAAATATAACAAGCTGAAAGTGTCACCTGCCTACGATGTCACAGCTTGATAGTTTTAGAATAGATGAAGAATAATGGAGGATTAATTGTAAGACCAAAAAAAAAAAAGAAATAATAAAATCAACATCCTCTTGGAGCTGAAATTGCGTTGAAAGTTAGAGTGATCTTAAGGATTCTGAGTCCTTTTCAAATTCGGGATATTATGGATAAATAAAAAATCCATAAATAAAGTCATGGTCAGTTTAGAGGTCCAAAGGAAAACTGACATCCAAATTTTGGATGTTTTAGGGGAAGCTTGAAGCAACTATAAAACATGCAAAATACACAGAGAACCGAACCTGCAAACTTTTTGCTTTGAGGCATCATGGCATGTCTGTCAGCTGTGTTTGGGATATTAAACTGTTGCATATTAAATGTAATAGTGTTCTTATGCCTTACAAATACAGTAAATCCATTAACTAACTGGGAACATAGTAAATCCGATTTTGTTAAAGGGATTAATATATGTTTTTTAAGCTGTTGGCTCAGGAAGATTTATCAGGAATGTATATGACATGTTTCACACTCTTGTTTATAAGGCATTTGGAAATCATTTATCTTTTTGTTCCTCTAATTATGTTACTTGAAGTTGATTTGCCACTTAACTAAAAGAATTTTGACTTTGGAGATTCTAATATTACCAAGATATAAAACCTCAAAGAGTAAAAAATACTTTAGCTACAAACTTATAAAAGTGTTATCAAACATATGCTTGAAATTCTTACTTATACACTGTTCTAACTGACTGCCCTTTTATTTCTTTCACCTCACTGTTCATACGGCCGTTCTCCAATGTGTCCCTAGACACTTGATTATCACCATAGCGTGCTTTCAGAGCATACTTGCCCATGCTGGCTTATCTATGGAGGAGGCAGATAAGAGCAAAAAGCTGCCAGGCCAGAAAGGACAGAGAAGCTCAGGTTGACAGAGTGCCACAGCAGGAAGGCAGAACCCTGAGCTAGCAGGATAGCATTGGATGTAGTAGTGTGCGGGTAGAAAGGACAAGCTCATGTCTGTCTGAGATAGAGGAAAAACACTGTGCCAATAGTAAGCTGGTGAACAAGAGAACAAAACAAAAGTAGCTATTCTACTTGTGGGGGAGAAAAGAAAATATGGAAAATCTACACTTTTATGTTTAAAACACTTCATTTCAAACTCTTTACATTAATGTTTTATAATATTATCATATTGATGCTTTGCTGCAGAAGCTTATATAGTCTTGCAATAAATAAAAAAGGAATGCAAGATTTACAATTTTTATCAACAGTGCAGGCAGATTAGTCAAGACAATGATTTATTAGTTAATAAGCTAGTTAATTTAGTTGTTATCAGAGGATTCTGTGACCCTCATGGTTGGCACTGGGTTATACAGTAAAGGGTAACTGATTGCTATGTGCTTATTCTCATTTCTTTTGCATTTTGAATTCAGTTCAACAGATCAGATGTGAAGAGGTCACCTGATGAGTTTACGCTGCCCGTCCTTCTTAATGCTCCTTTCCCTTCCAACAATCCTTTTTTCTTTATTTTGTTTAAATTGCTCAAATTGTGAACTATGGAGGGAGTTGGTGAGATATTTTAGAGCTGTTCACAAACTCTAAAATAGATAAAGCTATTTAGTCTACAATAGCTGTAGTGTTACCCGAGGTGTGCCTCAAAATTATACGACAGGGAAATCTTTAAGCTTTGTATATTTAAAGAAAAAATGTATTTGTTCTTTAAAACTAACTATGATAAGGTTGTCTTTAACGGTCAAGTTAGATTTGCTTTGAGTCAACAACACCAACAGTTGTAATAGTACCATAAATGAAAGATGAAAAGATAAGAGCAACAAATGGCTATTAGTTGACTGCATTTTTCATTTATATGTATATTATTATATTATATTATAATATTATATCATAATATTTTATATTATATTTAGAGACGATCATAATGTCCAAACTTGTTAAATTAATTTGCTAGATGTTTTTTTTTTTATGTTCAGATATATTTCACATTTTTTTTATTGAATTATAATGTCACCATCTGTTAGTTATGGGTTAAAAAAATGAATCAATCTCATGGAAGCAAATATTCAAACTTTCTGAGCTGCTGTAGCTGTTTATGTGCTTCTCTTTGTGTTATTTGTGCTTGGATCCAAACTATTTCTTTGTATTTATTTTTGCATCTAAATTTTCTATTTAGTTTTGCATCTAAAGGGGAACAAACGTAGAAATGAGAATCCAGTCCCTTATTTTCCATTTCTTTTTTCAGCATAAACGCCACATTCAGACAACCACCAAATATGTGGAGCTCATCATTGTTGCTGACAACAGAGAGGTAAGAAGAGGTCATAAACTTCTCCCCTTCAGCTAGGTTCCACAGGAAACGGTCTCAGAGGTCATATGCTAAACTGTTGTTTTCCCACGAGGTACTGGATGAGATGGCCCTGCCATGGCCCCGTTGTCACCTCTGATGTGTCACTTACTCATCCGTTTCCTTGCTCTGGCTCCCTCTACATCCTACTGCATTCATCATAGAATCGCTTGACTCACAAATGAGGCCTGATATGCTCTCAGAATAAGCCTTAAATCCTTGACTTAGTATCTCAAAGAGAGGAGAGCGTTTCTCACTTGCACAAGATTTATAGGTCAACATCACATGATTTAGAGCAGCAGAATAAATGCTGTACATAATAGGAGGTCTATAAGGTTATCTTTAGTTTGTGAGCGTAGCTAACAAGAGTTCTTTGAGGGCTTAAAAGTGCTGTAGAAGATGTAACTGCATTTCAAATACCTGAGTGGGGGCTAAACGTTCTGTGCTTTGTGTTTTACTCTTGCTAACCAGTTTCAGAAGCAAGGCAAAGACATTGACAGGGTGAAACAGCGACTGGCTGAGATCGCCAATTATGTGGACAAGGTAACAATCGAAGAAAACAAATGGATGCAGTGTTGAGATGTGATTTATTTGAAACAACAGCAAACTGTGCAGATTATCTGATCTGTGTGCACAGACTGAAGGGATTTTTAGCCACAGATGAATTTGAAAACTTGACTTTCAAATGTAAAAGGTGCTTAACAACAGAATTTTTCTAAATCTGAACCAAAATAAAAAACAAATGTCTGCACTTTTGAAAAGCTGAAAGAAATGAGACAGACTGAAAGAGAACAGTTTGTGTCCGTAACCTGTTTTCTTTCTTAACTCTCAGTTTTACAGACCTTTGAACATCAGAGTTGCATTGGTTGGGCTGGAGGTATGGAGTGATGTAGACAAGTGTCCCATTACACAGGATCCCTTCACTACCTTGCATGAGTTTCTAGACTGGAGAAAAGTCAAATTACTGCCTCAGAAGCCTCATGACAACGCCCAGCTGATCAGGTAGTTTTTTTTTTTTGGTACATCGGAATGTTTCTATTGTTTCACATGTATGTTTTCAATCTTTTGCACCAAAGAAAACTGTTATGGAAAGATTGAAATTAGATAACCATCCGTATGCCCTTTTGCAACAATTCATTAAAGTGATGTTGGAAGTTGGGTAGTAATAGGCAATCTGCATACTTTTTGATGTAGCAACATATCAATCACAATGTAACCCACATCTAAAAAAAAAAAAAAAAAAAAAAGAATCCTGTGTAAAATATAGTTAAAGTGAATAATTAAAACATACGATAATTGTTATGAAAAAAGGATTGATAAAAAAAAATCAAAGGAAAGTTGGACTGAAAACTGAAAAAAGATTTTTTTAGACAGCACAAGCAAAATCAAAATATTGATTTATAGTTATTTATGGTTTCTGAGCTTCTGCAATATTTTGGAACAGATTACAGACTAGCGGAACATAGAAACTTAAAGCTGCTTCTCTGTAATTTATTTATTTAGTTCTGGTTCTATGTGTGCAGACTAGATTTGATCCCAAAGACCTGAGAAGTCTGAGCAGTTGATACACAGAAAAGTCTGTAATGTTTTTTGGTTCTAAGCCATTTTGTGATTTACTGACTGACAACTGCAGTTGTCTGATCAGCTATTTAGGCAGACCTGCCAAGACACCATTGCAGTAATTAATTCTACTAAAGATGAACACATTAATTAGTTATTCCAGCTCCTGCTGAGAAATTAGTCCTTTAAACCTAGAGATGTTCTTTCTGTGATAGAAAGACTGTTACTGTCTTCATGTTGCCTCTGAAGGTTCAGGTAAAAGGGAAAAGTATAGAACACACTTTCTGAAATGTATTTACAGTAATACTTTATACAGAAGCCTTTGTTGGTAATGACATCTTCAAGATGCCCACTTTGTGGAGAAATTAGTCACATGCTTTGCTCAGGTGTGAATTTTGCCCATTCTTCCACACAGACAGTCTTCAAATCTTGAAGGTTTCGTGGGTCTTTACTATGAACTCTGATCTTTAGTTCCAATAGAAAATTACATTTTGTTTCGTACAGCTCTCACAAAATTTCCATTTGTTAAAGAGTTGCTGTGATCAAATGTAAACAGTGTGGGAGAAAAAAAAAAACATTGCAAAAACAAAAATACATTGATATGAAAAGTCAGAGCATTAAAATATATGTGGTGCAGTTATGTTGTGTTTTGGTTTGGTGTCAGTTTTTTAACTGCCCAATCACAACTTTATCAGTAACCTTACAGCTGAAAGGGAAGGTTTGAGATGGTGCCTGTTATTCCTTTTTAACATTGTTTTGATAATTGCTGCTTTTGGACCTGTAGTTCAATCATTTGTTATGATAGGCAAAGTTTTCTCTCAGCAACAATAGTGTCAAACACTGGAATAGCAGTAGCCAGAAGTTAGTAGGTTAATTGTTTTTTTGTGAGGTTTTGTAGTATATTTCATTTATCTTTAACCCCATGGAGACTTTTTATGACCGTCGCCTTAAAGGGAGCATTTAATGAAAGATTAATGAAAAATTAAAATGTAACTTATCTACAACACATCCTCATCAGTGCTGACTGAATTTCAAGCTGACTAAAGTGTTTTATTTTTGTCCAACCATACAATTACTGATCAGTGGGTACTTTAAAGAGGCTTATAGCCCCTCCTTACCTTCTTTGTTCTACCGGACACAAGATGCACAATGTTGCTGAAAGTTGGCCTGATCCAAAATTCTTGGCTGACTGAAATATAATTTGGAAAAAGGCAGTAAATCGTACTGTGTGTCGCCGTCCTTAGCTTAATTAGTCTAGCAACCAGACTGACCACTCAGCAGGACCCCTCAACTCTATACATGTAAATAAGTTAAAGGTAGGATTATGATCTCAATGAACTGACAACACAGGTGAAGTTTTGAGGTGTGCGGTTCTTTATTTCTTATAAACTTTAAAAAAAAATGTTTTATGTTACAGCATTTAACAAGTATTGACTGACTGACTGACGGACGAACATTACAGCTCAAGCTAGTCTGAGATTAAACTCTACAATCTGGCTAAGTAAGCAGCCCCCCATGGGCCCTCCCTTAAGACCTAGGGCACTACCAATTCCACACAGAATAAAAAGTATATCCTTTCTTGACAAACTATGTCAATTAAGTTTTGAGGTGTACTTCCTTGCTTAAAGGAGGGTGAGGGGTGGCTGAGTGGTTAGGGCATAGAGCTCGGAATCCTTAGGTTCTGAGTTCCAGCCCCGCTCCCACAGACTGCCACTCTGTGTCCATGAGAAAGACCCTTATCCCCCACACTGCTCCCCGGGGGTCGCACAATGGCAGCCCACTGCTCCCCAAGGGGATGGGTTAAATGCAGAGAGTTTTATTTAATTCAAACACGAAAACCTGCTTTGAAGAGAGATTCCATTATTTCTAGCTGTCTGGCTCCTATTAGCTTATGACATTTTTTGGCAAGTTTTCCCTTTATGAGGGAAAATGGGGATTTTTTTCTAATCATGGCCATTCTGATTTCATTAATTGGTGAGATTTCTTTGTAAGTTGTCTTTCTTGTTTTGCCTTGCTCTTAAAACATTCCAGCACAGGCTGCTATGTGAAAAAACAGGCAGAGCGGAAATATCGCTTTGCCCCAAATTGAATTCCATATCCAATTGTCTGTATTTGAGATCACAAGCAGAGTTAACTGTATCCAGTATCAAATATTTACCTCAAAAATCAGGTTTAGTCAATGGATTTTCATAATCAAATCCATCAATTTCCATTGAAAGTCCTCCGATATATATGGCAAAATCTATTAGAAAAACTAATTATGATAATGATAATATGGTGTTCCTGGTATGAATTAGTTTCAATCCAACTTTTCATCAATTTTGGCTAAATAAAGAGTAAGATATTTAAGAACGCAAACGAAAAGGAAAGGAAAGCCTCTTGGCAGGCAGGAGACATCACATTGTGTGTTTTCTACTGAGCTATTTATAAATATGCTGTAATCTGGACAATCCCATTATAGCTCTGGTTATATGTTTAGGGTTGCTTTATGACTTGGAAGGGAGCCTCGTTCCCATTCTTATGTTTTAGATACCAGGTTTTTCTCCCTACTTTCCCACAAATGACAGATGTTTTATTCTTCCATCTGTCAATCTCTGCAGCTCCTTCAGAGTTACCAAGGGCCGCCTGCGTGGTTCTTAAAATAAAGCCTTCCTCTTCGTGGTCCTGAATACAAATGAGATAAACTCTTGTGGGATTTTCATTTGTTTAGAAAAGTGTATAATTTTTCTTCCACCTCATTAATCAGCACCACTTTCTGTTGGTTTGTCCCATGAAAAAAAAAAAAAACAAGATCCATGAAGGTTAATGGTTATGAAATGAAAAGTGTGAAAAAGTGAAGCTATTTTCTGTCTTTCAGTGGGGTGTATTTCCAGGGGACTACTATTGGGATGGCCCCCATTATGAGCATGTGTACAGCGGAGCAATCCGGTGGAATTGTTATGGTATGTATATTTAGTACTAAAACTTTACCCGACTCTTCCTTTTAATATCCACCTCCAATTTTTGGTCTACTGCCTATCTTACAAAAACAGTTCTGCAGATTATTACTCTGTGTTCTAAAATTTGGGAGAGGTTGTCCTCATTGTGTATTTTCTCCTGACTTCCAAAGGGAGATGATGTATTGTCATGGTGATAAAGCTGTTCGAAAAGATGATTTGGAAAATGTTTGACTTTTTAATGAGGTGCAATAATGGAGGGAATTTGACGCTGCAGTGTGTGCAGCCTGAATGAAAACACAGGGGATATATATGGGATGTAAATAATGACCCATTACAGATCTGCAATTCTATATGGTGGGATTGAGTCATGAAGCATTAGCACAAATCATGCTGGTATTTTACCCGGAGTGTCTCTGGCCGGTTAATGGCCTGTCCCCCGGAAGAGTCTTCACCCCTATCCTCCCAGATGGTGAAGTTGGGTCCAGGTCATTAAAAAAAAACACACATTCAGGCTAAAGGGATTAACTGCTGACATATATATGGGCTCACAAATCACAGCCAAGTTCTCTGAGCTGTGTCCCTTTGTTTACAGAATACTTTTAAACTCATTAGCTTGACATTCCCTGGAAGTCTCATTACTATACTATATATATGGATTCTCCATGTAACGACTGCAATTGTTCAAATGATTTAATTTAAGCTCTGGAACTTCATTTGTTGTGCATATGTTTTATTTTCTTTAAAGGAAACCGAGTCAGGGGTTATTGTTCTTTCATTTCATTAGTCTAGGTTGCCCTGTTGGATTGTAGAGCTGACAGCTGATTGGTGTTTTTTCATTATTTTTTTTTTTTAAATAAGCTCCCAGCAGAGCGGCTCGTCAGTCTGAGTTCAACTCGTGCTGCACTGCTAAATAATGCACAGTGTCAGAAGCTTCCAGAGGCAAGGTGCTCTGACACACAGCTCTGCGTTCACGAAGAGCTGATAGCTCCCATAGCTGCATTATTCATTCAGCCTTTTCATGTGTTCATGTTTTACACACCTTGCAGGAAACCTTCAGCAAGCTGCATACTTTTGCTCGTCTTTGTTTATCCAATGCTTTGAAATGTGGTTCAGTTTCAGCTAATTTTTTGCAAAAGATTTTAGGTTAAAATCACAAAAACATTTTTTTTTGTAATTTTTATTCTTCTCAGTTGAATGTAGGCATGAACTTTGACCTAGACATACCAAGACATGAGCATGCTTCCATCTAGCTCATTCTGTTGTAGCTTTGTTGCAGTTTTAAGGTTTTTTTTTATTTATTTTTTTTTTTGCTCGACCTATGAAACAGGAGGCCCTAAATCTCACCCTTTTCTTTTAAAATGCATCTTATCTTTGGTTTCCAGTGTTTCCTGTCAGTGTTTTTTCCTGTCTTCAATTAGAAATATTTTTTCGAGGAAATCTTTGTTTGTTACATCCAGAAGCACAGCTGTCTCTGTCAGAATATGTTGAGCAAGCATAAAGAGAAAGCACAAAATCTGACTACAGCTGCTTTTTCTTTCTGGCAGCACAATATGATAAAAACACTCGGCTGAACACAGATCTGTCTGAACTGTTTGCTTAATCTGAACAATATCCAATTAAACCATCCAAGCCTTAGGTTATTTCTTCATCAGATCTTTTAGAGAGCTTGGATTTGATTTGTTTTGTTTTTTTTGTCCAAAAAAGAACTGAAATCTAAAGGGATTGAATCATTGAAATAGTCCTAGGCTGTTAGAAGAAGTGAAATAATTGCTAAGAAGAAGTTAAAAAAAAAATGAAGCAAAAATGGTTGACTGGTCTATTTTTCAGGATCATTCGGACAATCCTCTGGGAGCTGCGGTCACTCTGGCTCATGAACTTGGACACAACTTCGGCATGAACCATGACACACCTGAGAGGGGATGTGGATGCAGAGTGACAGTGGATCGCGGGGGCTGCATTATGACTCCCTCCACTGGGTAAGACATATTTCTTTCTTTACAACTTTAAATCTCAATATTTCTACCAGATGTATGGCTCCATATTTCCTGCAGCATGCTCCAAAAACATGGCAAATACATCATCGCTGCCTGAAGTTTAAATAATTCAGCAATGTAGTCCTCCCTTGAAAAAAAAACTAAATTGTGATCTTGGGTCAACATCGTTCCACATGCACTCCTTTTGTAATTTATTGTCTGTTGAGCAACAAGCAAATGAAGCCATTTAATTATTTGGTCATTAAGTTTAGTGCAGATTCAACAGCTGCACTAATGCCTTGGCATTATGATGCCGTCTGAATGGATGAGTAAATGGTTGACTAGCAATGTATGACAAAGACAGCACAGTTTTGCATATTCTAAGCATAAGTAGGTGAAGTTTTAGCTGATATATGCAGAACAAAAACGTTGTGCAACTAATGTAAAAAAAAAAAAGTCCATGATGTTGCAACGTACATAAGAAATATCTTGTAGCTACAAAAAAGGCTTAGTTGAAATACTATGTTTTTGTTTTTATATTGTTTTAAGCAATAGATAGATAGATAGATAGATAGATAGATAGAGTTTACGCTCACAAGTGGAGCATTATCACTTTCACCATAATGCTCTGCTTGATTTATATATGTTATTAGTTTTATTTTGATTTATGTAGGGAATTTACTTTTGTTATGTGGACAGAACAGAAAAGGGAGAAAAGGTTAAATGGAAGACAAAAGAGAGATATTGACAAACCTCAAATAGTCGCTTCATCTTCTGCAAAGAGATGTAAAAAGAACAGCTCAGCCAATTTATATATAAGTACAGATAGAGTACAGCCACATTCAGTATTAAGCAATATGGAATACATAAAGTAGTAGCTGAAGATAAACATTGGCGACTATGTAACCGAATCCAAGCACCTGTAGATGTTTCTGAGAGTGCGTTTATGTGTGTAAGGTTTATCCATGGGGAAAATGCTCAATAGTGGTTGTGAAGAGCCAAAGACCCGGCCCCCGGGAGGTGCCATAAGGGTTTCCCAAGAGGGGCCAACACAGGATAAAATATATATATATTTTTTTCCCTTTTGAAGAAGCTCTGTTAAAGTAACCATTATCTAGTATAAGTTTGATCAATTTTTGTATTTTAGACTTAATGATAGGAATTATCAAACACAGTCAAAACATTAAAACACCTTTAGCTTAAGGTCAATTGGAAGCTTTAAAGTAGATCCTCTAGCATCTTTAGTGGCTACCTATGATCCAGTAGTCATAATGTCTGTACCTTTTACAGTAATGTTTTGTTTTACAAGTGACCGATAGTTTTTACATGTTAATACTTAATTGTTGGGGGCTTCTTTTGTGCTGTTGTAACGGACTCTTCGGAATCCTTATGAGCTGCATGTGTTCACAATTCAGAAACAAACTACTTCCTTTCTCACTTCAAAAAAGCAGTAAGTTTCAAAAGAATTGGCCATCATGCCTAAAACAGTAATCATGACATCTACGCTGCTTTTTTAAAGGCAAGACTGCGTTAGACTACTGTATTGAGTCCTAAGTATAGAATAACCTGACCAGACAAAGTCTAAGGAGGCACACCTCCTTCTGTTGTAGGACTCTAACATAGAAACCTCGGCTATAATATGAGTTTAAAAGGTTTACCCTCCTGTCCTCGGCTTTGTGGAAGCTTAGGGATGATCTGGGTGGAAATATTGGAGTATCCTGCCTGAGCACCAGTCTAATGATGTGTGGGAGCCACAGACTGGAAATGTCTCTCTGTATTTTTTTTTGGACAACACCCATGAAAAGCACACTTACAATATTCTAAATTATAGACTTAAAAAATAGAACAATAATATGAGGTTCACAGATTTACTTTCACCCTGACTCAGGGTATTTATGGGTGAGGATGTTGCCAAAAATGGCAGCACATTGAACTTAGAAAAACAGAGAGAAAAAGATGTTTGCTGAAGTGTAAATAAAAGGGTTTTGTCTTTCAGTTGTTCCACCACTATTTCTGTTTCAGTTGCTCTTACATTTTCACAGACACTTGGAGTGAAGCCATTCTTTGATATTCATGCAACATTAATGTCTGAAAAATCTCCCAGCAGCTTCAGATAAGTAGTTAACTATGTCTGAAAACTTGTCACTTTACTGCCATAAAAATGAAATCAGAAAACCTCTCTGAAACTATCTAGATCTAAGGTCACATTAACATTACTTAGTTTTATTTAAAAAAAATCATAGGTTCATTATAAAATTTTTATTACCATGAAAATAAAGAATTTTTTTAATGTTTTCTGTACAAAGAAAAAAACAAACAACTTAGGTTCAGTTGACATAAGGATCCCATATAATTTCTTTAGTAGGCACATTTTGCAGTGCAGATTAGCATGACCTAATGATAGAAAAAAAGGGTTAAGAATCTGTGCCCTTTATTTTTTTATTTCAATAAAGTGCTGCATTGTATATAGGAAGACCTAAACAAATTTATATCATTTTATTTCAAAAGTGCTTTCTATTTACGGTACTCACTGATATTTCCAAGTTTAATTCAAAATTCTGAAGGAGATCCCTCATCAACTCACTGTAGGTCCCCGTCTAGCAGCAAGTATAGCATCCAATACGACAGCTGTGCAAATAAAATCCAACTTGAGGAATAAAGTGTAAAGCTAAATTTATTTGCATCATAATAAATCTATAGCCTCACAGGGTCTTTTATAATCAATATTCATGTTATTTACATTTTAATAAAGCACATAAATGGGCTTGTATTGATTATAGCAGTTAACAACCATGCCAAGAATTGTTCCTAGACTGCTACGGTTGAGTGTGAATTTATTTAAAGTCAGTGGTTCTGACATATGACACAAATCAAAAACAACATAAATGGAGTTGTTACCTCAAATACAATATTTTCTCGCAAACAAAGTAAGGTGATTACTTCATTTCCATCAGAGGATGTATAGATCTTTATTAAATATCAGTCTGATGTACTACTTGATGTTATGGTTTGGATCAAATGGCTTACAGATTATTTGTTTACTATTGATTATTCTGTAATCTAATTTCAAAAGCATGTGCATAGTTTTGCAAGTGAATTGTTGTGCATTGGGCCAAGTTTAAACCAGTTTATTTTACATGATCAGTCATACTTCCTTATTTTAAAGTGAAGGGAAGATGGGTACTCTGAAACTTGCAATGCATAGACCCATCTTTTGGGGCAATTATAGCTCCACGTTGTCGGAGGTTTTGCATTAAGTTTTGCAAAGCTAGGGACAAAGTAATTTACTCATTTTTGTTTGCAAAATTTCCTCAAATAGTAATTAAAGTAGAGGAAATGTGTATTTAAGGTACAAATTCAGGTCTTGAAAAGTCTTAATCCTGTACTTGATTTACAGTACATATTAGCTTGAACCAAAGAAAAGCTGGTGGTTTGCATCCTATGAAATCATATCTCCTAAAAGCACAAAACATAATTATACAAGAACCAACAAACACCTTATGGTTCTCTTTATGGGCACATATACAAATAGGCACACAAATATATACATAAAAATGTGTCTCTTAGCTGGAACTGAAACAGAAGATTTGTATTGCTTTATGCCTGGATTGCTTTTCTTTATTTCCACTACAATGTCTCATTTCTCCTCCAGGCATTTGGTCATGTTTAGACTTACTTTGACTCCTTCTGTCCTATTTAAGAACGCACTCGGAATAAAAGAGAGAACCTAATATGAACAGATTATTCCACATAATGTCAGGATCTGCAAGTTCAAAATATCTGACACCAAGGAACAGTGATATTAGGTATGAAATGTTTTTATTTATTATTACTATTAAATCCTAAATTAAAATTTGTCTCATTCACCAGTTATCTTAAGTGATTCTTTTTTTTTCTATCCCGTTTACTCATCATAGAAATGTTCTCAGAGGAAAAAGGGAACAAAAAACAGTCCAGGATAGATGAGGAATTTCAAACAGAAAGTCCTGCCTATAGATTAAGGTTAAATTGCTGGAGTATTTCACAATTATACTTAGCCTCATCGGGAGTTCATTCTTTGAAAAGTTGTTACAATATACTAAAAACACCAGATATATATTTTGTTTTTCAATTTTTAAGATAAAATGTAATAACATTTCTGCTTTTTGAGTTGGTCTTTTTATATTCCTATCACTTCAAATGTACATGCATAAATCCTAGCTGCAATTCTAAAAAGAAAAACATGTTTAATTTTAAACAAATTTTTAACAATTGCATTGTGAGCATACAGTTCTAGTGAATATCATTTTAAAACATACAGCTGATTATTTATGCCTAATTCTCATAGGGATCATATCACACATGAATACCTTAATAAATATAGAATACAATTCAATTATTGTCATTCCACTGTCACAAGTACAGAGCAACGAAATTAATTCACTGGATTTAACCCATCCCCCTGGGGAGCAGTGGGCTGCCATTGTGCGGCGCCCGGGGCGCAGTGTGGGGTTAAGGGTCATGCTCAGGGAGCCAGAGTGACAGCCAGTGGGAGTGTGGGATCGAACTCACAACCTCAGGATTCAAAGCCCCATGCCCTAACCACTAGGATATTCAAAATAAACTGCACATTTCATTTAGCCATTAACAAGATACTTATGGGATTCCTAATGAACATTATTCATGAAAGATAGTCAGAAACCATCTTGCTTTATAAACTAACTTCAATAATGTAAATCTGCAATGTATGCAATAAGGTTTTTGCAACTTTTGTCCTTTTAACTTATTTCAAATTAAGATAATTTGAAATAAAATTATGAAAAGGATAAAAGTTTCAAAAACCGTATTGCACACATTGCAATGAGGTCTTGCAACTTTTATCTTTTTATCAAGTTATATTAAAATTGTTTTATGGCAACAGGTAAATGGTATGAGGTGCCCCCAGGGACATAAATCAGAATTAACTTGCATATACACATATTAAATTACACTCTTCCATATAATATACTGAAAACCTCACACAA